GGGGAAAACTCAGTCTCACCAGCATCAACTCATCTCTCAGATTTACAGTCATCCTCTCACTGCTGTACTTACAGTGATTTTTTATTAACTTTACTCCAGAACAAGGCCATTACTTGTTCTTAATTCTGGAAGTGACTATTTGGGGTTTTTAGCCTGCAATATAATGCCAAGGCCTCTTTTCAACCTTTCTACAGACATTCTCTGAAGGAAGTTCCGAATGGGGCCTAAGAAATTGAGAACTCTCTTTCATAAAGGAGATAGCAGTTTCTTCTAAGGTTTATAACTGGAGGTCTAGACAATTACACGTTATGTCTTCTTCAGCAGTTTTGCTCTTTTCTCATTTCAGACCTTGTAGGTGTTGGATGTGAATTTAACAGGGTACATTATCATAACGGCCAAGTGTTCCAGCCCAGTCCCCTGTTCAGCTGCCTCTGTGTGAGTGGGGCCATTGGATGCACGCCTCTGTTCATACCAGAGCTGGCTGACACTGACTGCTCTCGAGCTGAAGGTGGAAAGAAGTCTAATAAATCAAACTGTGGCCTGGGACCATTACAACAGCAGCTCTCAAGCTACAAAACAATGCCAGGTGCTCACAAGTAGAGCTATTTTACATGTAGGGCTTTTGGTGGAGTTCCTTCATATTTCTTTCATGTACAACAGGTACTCAGTAAGCATTAACTCATTGGTAGTCAGAGTGAGATTTAGTTTGAGTGTACCATCTTACTCAGTCTTTGCCTCAGGCAGGTATAGTCTAAGGATCTGAAAAGGAAACTTTACAATGTTTTGGAATTTTCTGGTAAAATATCCCAGTTTTTAAAAGCTCTGCTAGGTCAGGAAACTGTCCTACAATTTTATGTCTACTTATTTCCAACCTCTTCCCAGGAAAATTAGCCAGAACCGTTCACATGCATCCTGGAAAAAACTTTTATTTCTGTTGTTCTATTACGAGCAAGAAGTTTGACCATTCAGTTTCCAAAATTTTCAAAGGCAACTTTTCTGTATGATACAAGCAGAAATGGAATTAAAAATATTTGAGGACTGACACATGCTTTGAGTTTGTAAATATTATTTCTAAAAACGGGAAACTAATAAAGTCCTTTCATTCACTCTAAAATTGAAGTATTGAAGCTCACAATTACCAATCTCTTTCTATGCGCGCACGCACACACACACACCCGTGTATGTATGTAGTCAGAAAAATAAAATTTCTTATTACTCATTTTCAGCACCTGGCCATTTGCAGACAGCTTAAATATATTCATAAACCTTGTATTGTGGTCTGCTCTAAGTTAGCACCTTATTTAAGTGCCAGGGTATTTTGGGGACAGGAATTTTAAAAACAGCCTGGAGAGACTATCTTAGAGCAGCAATTTCCCACAAGTAAAGCCCTTTGTATCAAGTTCAAGTTGGTCTCATTTGTGGAGTTAGAGCAGTTTTACTGGATTCAACTGGAGGCTGGTTGGGGAGGCACGAGATCATCATTCTCTAAAGCAGTTAGTCCTTTGTTACAAAAAATAAGAAAAATCTCCCAAAGTACTTTCTGGTATTTGAGATTTAGGCCTAGATATGTTTCAAAGGAAGTATATGTTCAGTCTAATGTCTCTCCACTGTTTAACTGTGAAACTGTATTTTTGGCCCACACAGGAACTTGGCTTTTAAAATGAACCACAAAGACAAAAACACACTTTAAGAAATATTTGATAGTAATTTATATAGCCTATGGTTGGAATCTAGCTTTTGCTTGGTAAGAAGCATGCAATGA